ATATCACCTGCATCTGCACGGGACTCCGTCTGAATAGGCTGCATCCTGTAGACCGCCCTCGACTGGCGGTCGACTCTTATTCAACTACTAAGAAGCATGATGCCATCAAGAGAAGCATGATGGCACATGCGGGTCGCTGGTCATCTGAGGGGCAGCAGCATGAACTGGGGTGACAGCAACTGGGTAACCAGGTAAAGAGTGTGCCGGCGAAATATCATGGGTCCGAGAGATAAGATAGGCAGGTCCGGGGTTCCGATGGATAAGGATAAGATAAGATAAGGAAAATAGGGGTAAAACCATAATAGATCTTGGCATGTACCTCCTCCTCCATAGGCATTATTTAAGCCCTAAAGTGCTCAGGTTTCAGTACTAACACGTCCTTGTTATCTTCCTTCTCCTGATCATGATCATCTCGTTGGCTCAACAGGTCTGCCTTTTGGTTCTGGGTGCCTGGTTTGTGATGAAGCATGAAGTTGTATTCTGCTAGCTCCATAACCCATCAGGCTTGCCTTCAATTGAGTTTCTGGGGCTTTCAGAAGTATTGGAGATTCGAATGATCAGTCCAAATCTCAAAGTCTTCGCATGCTCCCATCAGGTAGTGGCACCAGTTCTCCAGTGCGATCATTATTGCCAGCAATTCCTTGTTATAGATTTCATAATTTCTTTCCATATCGGAAAGAGATTTGGACAGGAACGCTACAGGCCTCCAATTCCCATCTTGCTCTTGGGACAACACCACCCCTATCGCTCCTTTGCTTGTGTCTGCTTCTACTCTGAGCCTTCCTTCGTCAAAGGGTATGGCTAATACTACGTCGCTTTTGAATTGATCTTTGATTGCCTCAAAAGCTTCTTGTTGTGCCTTCCCCCATGCCCACGATTCCTTTCTGGTAAGTTTTGTCAATGGTTTCACTATCTTGCTGTAGTTCCATATAAACTGCCAATAAAAATTGGCAAAATCTAGAAAGGACTGTAATTCCCTCTTTTTGGTTGGGGTCAGCCATTCTAGCAATCCAGCGATTTTAACGGGGTCCATGCAAATAGATCCTTCGCTGATTATTACTCCTAGATACTCTGTTTCCTTCACTTCGAACTCGCACTTTTCAGCTTTCAGGAACAGCTTGTTTTCTCATAATCATTTGAGAACTTCTTTGACTAGCCTTCAGTGTTCCACCTTGTCCTTGGTGGCGATTAAGATATCATCCAAATATACGGTGACTTTTTCTTCCGCAATCAGATCCTTGAAAATATTGTTTATCATCCACTGGAACATAGCCAGCAAGTTGGTGAGTCCAAAGAACATCACCAGTGGCTCATACAAGCCTCGATTTGTTCAGAAAGTGGCCTTCCACTCATCTCCCTGCTTGATTCATACATTGTTATATCCCCACCTAACATCCATTTTGGAGAAGTATTTGGCACCCTTCAGCTTATCCATTAGTTCCAAGATTAGCAGCAGGGGATAACGATTCTTTATCGTCATCTCATTGAGTTTCCAGTAATCTTGGACTGGTTGAAGTTTGCATCCTTCTTTTTGACGAAGAAGAACGGGGAAGCCATAGGGGATTTGGACAGTTGGATTCTTCCAGTAGACAGGTTCTTGTCTAAGAATTTATCCAATTCCTTTTGTTCGACAGGGTTTAACGGGTATACCTTGCAGTCGAGACTAGCATTGGCATTGGGTATTAGCTCAATTGCATGATCCCACAGTTTTCAAGCAGGTAGCTTGTCAAAATTGGCTTTGTCAAACACATCTTTGTACTCTCTGTATGGCTTGGGCACTAGCTCCTCAAACGTCTTTTCCTCCTTCTTCTCATTCGCCTTGGCTGCCAACTTGTTGGATTTACTCCCCATGGCTCGTATGTGAAATGCTTCCTCGAAGTCCACCACCAATATAGTATCTCCTTCTTCAAATTCGTCTCCCCATCTCGTGTCTGGTCCTTTGTCTGGTAGCTTGAACAGAATTTTGCAACAGTTGCACTGGGCAAGTACCACTGCTCCCGTTTTTCAGTCTATGGTAGGATTGTGTTGCTGAAGCCAGTCATGTCCCAAAAAGATTGGGGTGGTCCCCAGATCTACAACCGCCAATTCTATGATCTCGCTATGGTCACCAATCCGTAACTCCACCTCCACATACTCAACTATGTCCCCTCCTTTGTTACGGGTTCTGTCCGCGTTATACACAGGAGTGGGACGAGCAGCTTTTCAGGTGTTCAGGAAATGCTCCTCGGCCCACTTCTGGTCTATTGCACTACCAGTGCACCCACTATCCACTAGGGCAGTGACATTGTATGCATCCAAGGTGTCGACTATCTTGAGTTGAAGTTTAATCATGACACTCCTTCCCCGACCACCTTGTATGTATTAGGGTGGGTGCTGCAGGTTGTCCAACCATTCCAACGCTTCTTCTTGGTCTAGGTACGTCTCCTTGTCCTTTTCCTTCAGGCTTTCTACCAGTTCATCATTGACTTCTGTTAAACGTCGGGGGTGTACCCATCCATTCAACACTCCTCATGCTTCACTCACCATTTTGGCTAAACAGAGCACACGTCTAGTCCAGTCTGGACCAAACAGTTGCATCCATCACCATTCAGGGTACTCCGACGAAGAGTACTTGGCCAGTAGGCTGTTTGGCTTTGTGGTCTTCCCCTGGTTGCCTTTCGCTGCAGGTTTTGTGGCCCTTTGTTCTTCTGCAGTTACTAAGTCTTCTGCCCTTTCACAGATGCTACTGGGGACTTTTCCACTTGGGGATGGCCCACACAGGGAAGATTTTTTAGAGTTCTTCAAACTCTGTAGATAGCTAAAATTGTCCTCCTCATCTGGAACTTCCTCTACGGTCACTGCTTTTTTGGAAGAACATAATGGTCCCTCCTGCCCACCCACTGGGGAACACAAGCCCTCAGTGCCATTATGGAAATTTGGAAGATGCACCTGATAAATCCACAATTCTCTGTCAGGTTTGAGGATGGCACAAGGGTCAACCATTTTTAAGGTAGCTGCATGCTGTGAATGCTGGTTCGCTGTCGTATAAGCGTTCTGGGTTACTACAGACTGTTCATCAGCTGGCTTGCCAGGTTTCCTGCTGTCTTCTTGCCCCCCTGGCAGCTTGATGTGAGGCAGGGTGCCGTTCCTGCTTCCAGGGAGGGATTTGGTTACTGTCAAACCTTCATCTGGGAGCACTGTTATGCTACAGGCCTCCTCCTTCCCTCCAGCTTGGGCTTCCACTTTCCTGAGGGGTTCACCAGCATCACACTGGTGCCTACTCATTTTTGGTACAGTGCTGCCAGCAGCAACACCGACCTTGCTCGTTTCTGAAGTTGCACACGAGTCGTGCTTTTCCGAAGGTTTGGCCCCAGAATGGCCTTCGTCTTGACCCTTCATGTCATCAGCACCCCCACAAGGTGGTGTGTCCTGACTGTTGGGGTTCAGTGCTGATTTGGCAGCAGGAGAAATCCCTCGTACCCCGTTGTTGTTTTGCGATTCCAATTTCATGGGTTCAATACTGAGTGCAGAAAAATGGTTATATTGTGCATTGGATGTACCTACAGAAGTATCATAAGTTCGACCAGTGATGGATGAGCTCGTACTCTTGTCCATGAAGTCCTTGGCTGGTGAAAGCAAATCGCTTATTCTTTTGTTGGCTCATCTTTTATCTCCTCTACTTTTGTTGTCTCTGCTAGTCCTTTCTCTTTCTCAGCTTCCACAAGTAATTGGAAAAGTCAGGTGGCATTAGCCTTCTTTTGCAGTGGCATCTTGACTTTCTTCCACTTCAACTTGTCTTCAGGACACTTGTTGTCATGTGCCATATGGTTCAGGAGTCTGCATTTGAAGCAGAGGTGATCCTTCTTAAGCTGGTCAATCTCCATTGGCTGCCCCTGCCCTCCATACATCGTACCAGAGGAGTCTTTCTTGTCACCAGAATTTCCAGAGCTGCTGGCTTTTCCTGACAACCCTTGGTTGCTTTGACCTGAATTACTATTTGAGGAGGTCTTATTGGGGTTTCCCTCGGACTGGGCGATGTTGTACCAATAGTTGGCATCAATCTGTTCGACTCGTCTCTTCCATTCAGTGTATGTAGTGGGGCAGTCATTATTGCCGTGCATGATCGTATTCTTAGTCATAGGGCATATTGCCTTTTCGACCGTCTCGAACATCTGCTTCTTATCTCCAAACTCATTGCATTCGATGGCCAACTCCTCAAAGTGGCCAAAGAACTCAATAGCAGATTTAAAGTCTGACTGTTTGAGTCTCTGCCACTTCTGCTTCTTGATCGCCATTTCGGCCTCCTCTTGGAATCTCCACTCTAGTCTTCCATGAAATTCGAACCAGTTGGAGTACCTCCAATGTCCTCGCACCAGGTCCCTGTAGGCATGCTCTTGCTGATCCCACCATTGGTGCACGGCTCTGGTGAGATATCCCTGGGTGAATGTTACTCAGTACAGGTTGTTGCCTTGCTTGTTCATCAAGAAGTGGCAGGCGAATACCTCGAAATAGGTCTCGCACTGGTTAAAGAATCATCGCATCTTGTTCAATCATCTGTCCCATAGGTCCGGTACTTTGATGAGTTTGGGCTTGATCTGCCTGTACAAGTTGGCCGCATCCTGGGTTTGAACATGTAGTGGCAGCATTGGTGGTGGCAGTCCCACTGGAAGTGCAGGGGGTAGCACAGGGTTCGGGGGCTGAAGTAATGACCTAAGGGCCCAGTTGTGGTGTGGGCTCAGATATCCACCAGGCCGACTGTGCCTTGGAACTGGCAGAGGAGGTGGCAGGGAACTCAACAATGCCTTCTTGGTGGCCGAGTCGCTGGGTTCAGCATCCGCATAGCTGTCATCAGCTCCTTGTGCCGCCGCATGCATGGGTGGTATTGCCAGCATTGGTGCCGGTCAGCAATATGAGGCTCCATATGGCTTAGGATCTTCAGCATGTATGAGGTTCCAGATGTTGGCCATCACATAGTACATCTCCACCATTATTATATTCATCACAATAAATTGGTCGCCTACTCAACTGGCACTGCCATAATCCATTCCTGCCTCCATCATCCTCCATCCTGAATCTGTTCTTAGTCCATATACTATGGTATCGAACAATTCATCCCAAGTCAGGCCCCATAAGAGTACAGGGACCGTATCGACGACCCTATTAAGTACCTGATGGACCTGGTTCAGGATTTCCTTGTAGTACCCTGTGACAGATGGCTTCATTGGCATAGGGATTTGGTAGCAGGGGCCTGGAGTAGGCTGCCACATATCTTCAGGCCTCGTCGTCATCGAGGATGGGGCTGCTGCATCTCCCATAATGAGGGTTGCCATGGATCCTGGTAATGACCTCCAGCTCTCTGACTCCTGCTCCTGCTCATATGAAGTGGGAGTCGGGATGTTCATGGTCACTGACCCAATAGACTGGGGGTCGATGGTCAGGTACTGCGGTCCCATTGAACTCATGTGGCTAGGTGCATTCCTCGTACTCTCAGATCCTTCTAGTGAGTGCTGCTGCCTCTTTTCCAGCCTCCAGATGGGCCTTGACTTCTGGAGAGAGCCTGGCAGACTGTATGTCGAGCCCAGACTCGATGAGTGCAAGATGGACTGGTGTCCAAGGTCGCTCAAATGGGACGATAGGACTGACGAGCACGTGGGCCTCTGTGATTTGTCGGTTCTCAGTGACAAAAGGTTGCTTGGGGTTTCCAAGGGTTGGCGAATCTGGTCTAAGGGGACCGCAGTACTCTAGATAGGCAGGGGTTCCTGAGTTAATCCTGGGTCGATCGGGGAGTGGGAGGGGGTCATCATTGGCCTCGATCCAGTCCCAGATGGCCTGTCTTCTCTCGTCTTCAGAGAGGGGGGTTCTGGGGCATGAGTAGGGCTTGGGGGAAGTGGTCTGCTTGGCTTCTGGGGAATTCTGAGTGGAAACTGAGGAGTTGCTCCCTTCAGTGCTTCCTTCATGAACTGGGAATCTGCTGGCCCCTGGAATTCTGCTGCAGATCGATACTATTCCTTGTCCAGGGGACCAGGCTTGAACTGTTGAGGAGGGTGCTGAGGACAGGGACCTAGGATGGTAAGATCCTCCATCTGAGTCTCCATCGTGGTGGACTGGTCTGTGGAGTGCTTCAAAAGGTAGAAGCTTCCGGTACAGGGGTCAGGGGTCATTTCTGTGAATAACAATGGAACGAGATCATCGATTGTTCCACTGCATCAGATATACTCTGCAACATCCCTTTCTTCTTCTGGCTCTGACTCAACTGGGAGTTCTGGCTGGCAAGCGAAAGGTGTGAATCCTGCGCTTGAGTAATGGGACCCTGATATGGACTCTGCAATGTCGACAGATCCTGATCGACTGGAGTGTTGGGATGGGATGGGTCTGATGGGTCTGCCATCATGTAGGGTAGATTGTGGGGGTGCTAAGATGTGAGGGTACGGGTACACATAGTATGGTACCAGGAGATGGAGAATGAGTTGTAACAGGAGTCATGCACACTCTCTGCATCAGCAGCAGAAAAAGATCCTACTGATCCAGTACAACAGGGCACCTGCACAAAAAAGCCCGAAGACTATGGCAATAGAAATGGTTTGGTTGAGGGACAGAAGAGACATATGCATCGGTCACCGTTTGTTAGACAATGAGGGATATAAAGGTCAAGCTTCGGCTAAATGTTAGCCACTAACTTGACAAACAATATCAAACAAGAGAATGCCACTCACACTTCGGTGGATCGTTTGCAATGCAGGCAATGCTGGCCTTATGAGCTAGTAACTAGATTTAGATAGTCACAGAGCGAGGAGCTTTGAGTTGGGTAGATTAAACCTTAGCCGAAGCTGGGGTTTAGGCCAGCTGAAGCTCTACTTAAATACACTTTTGGTATGCTAATAATAGTACACTACTGAATGGTAACCATGCATGAAACAAAAAAAATCATACGATGTCCGTGTGTCGCAGCTACAACATGAAGGTCAAGCATGGACAACGTGTGAACTGTCCCAGTGCTTGGATGCACTGATAAGATAAAAACAAGCACTGAAAAGATAAAAAAAATTGAAAAAATTGTAACAGATTTCCAGTTACCACTAACTCAGAAGACCATGGACCCTGCCTGAATGTGGAAAATTCTGAAGGAATATCATGAATCCTCAGGATGGGCCAATTGTATGACAGTTCTTCATTAATTTGTTTCTCTCAGAATGGAAGAGAGAGCATCTGTACAGGAGCACATCAATAATTTCAATGAACTTGACCAGTCACTCAAAGACATTGGAATCACATTGACAGATATGCTTAGGATGACTATTCTATTGGCATCCTTACCCTCTACCTATGAGAACATCATTATCACTATCGAGTCTTACATCGAGGCCAATACTGACCCTAGCGATCTGACACAAGGTCCAGACTTTGATTATGTCACTCGTTGATTGCTAAATGAAGAGCACCGCCAGAAACTCAATTCACCAGAATTTAAAATGGCATTAGCCACACAATCAATCAAGGGCTGACATCCCAATCTGGCCAATATCATTTGCTACAGCTGTGGAGAGAAAGGCCACTACAGAAACAAGTGTCTGAATATTGCTCAAGGGGGAGAGGATCCAACGAGAGCAATTGTAGCTGATGAAGAAGAAGAAGACTATGCATTTTAGGAACTTGAAGTTGAGGGGGAGTGTTGGGATTTGCAACTTCAAGCTTGTACTGGAAGATTCCCAAAGCTTCAGCTTACTCATTTGTCATGATACTTGGATATATTTAGTACTTTAGGTAGAATATTCTAGATACTTTCCATAGTATATAAGGAGCTCATTAGGAGCTCTAGTAGCTAACAATTAGGTATTATTCCTACTGCAAGCCTTCCACTGTTAGAGTGCCAACAATATCTCATGCCACCAATTGATTGAACTCTGGCTGAGCCCCAAATATTGATGGCTACGAGTTCAAGAACTTTACTCACAGGGATAACAACCACATCAAATGGCCTTCATTTTTGATTCCCAAGAATGCATGGCTCACACTTTCCAGGTAACTTGAGGCCAGACTTTATGTTCAACCCATCAATGAAGTCCTTTCAGACCATTTCCTTAATGTGATCAATGCCGTGGTGGACAAAGCGCATATGCCAAACCTCCAAGGGGGTAGCAACATCAAGGGATCGAGCCATTAGAGTACTGTGAGAGTTATGGTGGATAAGAGTGCCGTTTATAGCATAGAGATCTCCAACGAGTTCATCATCAAATTGGGGTGTGCCATTTGGGTCGAAGAATGTAACTTTTCCTTCTCCATAAACAACTTTTCACCCATCCTTGTCAAGACAGCTGACCAAAATCAGGTTCACTGAGATATCTGGACAATGGAGGGTTCTTTCCAGCTTCACAACACTGTTCACCCCATTCAATGAAGTCTTTATAGCCACTGTTCCTGTTCCTTTGACTTTGAATGTCACTCCATCTTTTGACAAGCCACCGGCAATGTTCATGAGTAGGATATAGGCAGAAAAGGCAAGTCTCTGTTTCATAAAATGGGTACTTGCTCCAGAGTCACTGAATAGCTTCGATGAGTCTAATATTTTCATCCCTTTAGCTATCCATGCCTTCTCTTGGGTTTGCTCCTCAATCATCCTTTTGGCATCCTCCCCTAAGCTTTCATTCAATGCAAAAACATTTGTCATTACCTTGGTGTCTGGGTTTGGGATCTGCACGAGGTTTGCAGATGGGATTTGGGCATCTTGTTTGCCCTTCCACCATAGTGGGTACTGTCCTTGTTTCCCTCCACCTATTTTCCAACACTCATCTATAGTGTGCCCTATTCCTTTACAATTCTCATTTGCTGGGTGAGACTTCCCATTACTTGGCCTCGCATTGTCCCTGCAGCCTGACAGACTTTGGACTTGTAATGCTAACACATCAATTGAAGCTTGTAATGCTTGGTTGGACATCATTGTTGTTGAACTGGTAGGGCTCAAAGATATCTTTCCTCTCCCAGCTAATCTTTCCCCATGCACAGAGAGGTGTGCAATAACAACCATAAGATCCTTTTCGCTGTGTAGGATGCTAACGACAGGATCTCAGGATTCAGAGAAGGAATTGAGGAGGATAGTAATGAATGTTTCCTCCTTTATGACTGCCCTCACATTGTTAGCTTCTTTCAGTAAGCATCGCATCTTCTCAAGATGGCCCCCATCACCTAACACCTTGTCTCCTTCCTCATAGGTGTTCACTCACAATATTTTCTCTTGATGGTTCCATACTAGGTCAGAGTGTGCACCATATTGGGTTTTCAACCTCGTCCAAGCTGCATAAGAGGTGCCTCATGTATTGAGCCCAAAACCAAAGATATCTGTTACATTGCGGATGATGGAGGATAAAGTGCAACTCTCCCTCTGCATATTCGTATTCGTTGAGGGTAAGGCTGCTAAGGCTGGTGTGGGTTGGGAATAAAGCTGGTCCTGATACAGTTACATATCTCTCTCAGTAGTTGATTAGTCCTTGTGGTCCTCCTTCAGCCATCATAATCATTTTGAATGCAGTCCAATTTTCTCCATTAAATTTCTTGCTTTCGTCAAGCTTGAATGGTAAGATTTGGGTTGAGGATACGTTCTCTGATGACATGTCAGAAATTTTTATAAGGGTAGGTTAAAAAATTGTGTAAGTCAATATGAGGGCTGAGTTTAGGTCCATAAGGTCGCTGTTCGGTTTTTTTGAGTCTTGGGTAAGATATGAATGCTTGTTGTAAAGATCTGAATCTACAGAGTAAGGCAATGGGGCTGCATAACCTGTTAGAGTACAACAATCTAACAGTACAATAAGTAAATGATAAGTAGCAATATAAGTAAGATATACACCTCAGTCTTCACTTGTATAGTGGTTAAAGACTGAGGTGCGAATGGAAAAAAAAATGAACAGAAGTGCATATGAAAACAATCGCATGAATAAATGAGCTGGTAAGTATTAATAAAACAAACAGACCCTGATACTGATAGGGCATAGGACTGAATCCTCGACAAATCATCTTGCAGTTGGTGGATGGAGAGGAATGAGCATCATCACCTGACATCCAGATAATGTGCATTCTATTGCTGCCTTTATGCCAGCTTACTCACTCTATCATTCAGGCTACCAGACTTGTATTGAGGAGTAAAGTGGCACACAATGGGTCTGGCCAGAGGCATGGAGCTTTGGAGACTAGAGAGACTCATAGTTAGTAGACTGTAGAGTACTGTGCTATTATGACCTGGATCTTCATAGGATGTTATGAGCAACCCTTGTGCTATTCCCTCTCCCTGCCATGGCATGTGATGAAAAAATTATGCCATACAACTGTAAAAGACAAGTTCTCTACCTTAATACCCATAGTTCGAGTCTGGACAGCAGCAACATGATGAGAAGGATTTCATTTCTGAAATCTGGTGCTTATTTGTGTCCATACAGTTTTAAGTGCAATGATAGTTTTAAAATAAATTTTTATATATGCTTTTTGATGGTGTTCTCATTGAAATATCAACTTGTTTTTTTTTATCAAATACAACACAAAAAACAATACAGGGAGAAGAGGGAAATGGATGATGATGATAGGATATCATAATTCAGGCTTTTAGCATAAAACACCCAGTAAGTAAGTAGCAAATATTCAACAAAAAGAAGAATGCTATTATTTTAGGCAGATAAGAGAAAAGAGTTTTCTTGACACTTCTCCAAGCATTTATAGACACCTTTACACTCGAAAGAATAGCTACCTAACTATTAAACTATGTAGGCCTTGTAAAAGTGCTAAATAGAAGCTATCTGTCCCTATTTACATCTTGGCAGGTGGATGAAAATAAAAGGCTGGTTACTTCTAAAATGGGATATTATATGATAAGGCAGGGGAGGGGGTAGCAGTGGAGTTTTCAGTGTTATGCATTATACACATCTTCACAAAGTTACATCTTTATTATGATGTCATCTACCTTAATAGACAGTCCATGTATTAGCCAGACTGAAAAAATAATACTATATTGAATAATTTAAGGCACCAAAGGGCCTGTTATGTGTTAGGAAGTTCATAGATATTCACTTCATGGGGGGTTATTATGCATTATGTGAATATCTGGTCATAATAGTATAGTATTCTTTTGAAGCCCAATGTACTATTTTTCATACAAAAAAACTAGTGTATTATATAAGTACTTGTGGTGAATACTTGCTACCTGCATTGACATACTCATAATTTGTACTACACTTAAGTGCTATGAGTATGAGAGTATCTGCAGATGGTCATGTGAGAGATACAAGTGCCAGATAGTCCATATGTACAGGCCTCACATCCGACACTTGTGAAGATCTCTACTACTGTCCACCACCAATCCAAGCCTTTGATAAAGTGATGTCAAAGGAAAATAATTAAAAAAGCTTTAGA